GGCCGGACCAAACACATAGGTTGAAGCTCAACCACTGAGCCACGGGCCTGGCTGTAATGTCTATTTTTTTAAAGTGTGATGAAAATCTTTCCCAAAGTCTCTAAGTAGACTTCTCACCCTATTCTTTGGCCCAGCTTTTATCAGATGCCTATGACTAAACCTAAAACTGGCGAGAGAAATGGACCCACCAAACCTAGCTCAGACCAATCATGACTCTGGAGAGGGAGCTGGGACTAGGGCTGGGGCCTGCCGCCTCTAAAGACAGTGCCTGTCGGAGTAAGATCCAGCTGAGATGGACGGATGGGGAGAAATGGCTGTTGGGTAGGCAACCACCCAGGTCTGCCACATGTTGCCGCCTCCTACTTTTTAACTGTTTTGTGGCACAGTGGGCTTTGTAAATGGGGGGTGCCTGACAGTGATTCCTTCAGCCCTAGGGGCAGCCAGGAGGCCCCGGGATGGCCAGGGTACCCAGCTGATTGCTTTTACCATAGCAGTCTCTTCTGTTTACCATAGTGTGCAGTGCAATTTAAAACATTTTCCTACGATTTAAAAAAAAAACATTTTTATTGATTTCAGAGAGGAAGGGAGAGGGAGAGGGAGATAGAAACATCAATGATGAGAGAGAATCATTGATCGGCTGCCTCCTGCACGCCCCCTACTGGGGATCGAGCCCGCAACCCCGGGCATGTGTCCTTGACCGGAATCGAACCTGGGGCCTTTTAGTCCGGCCGATGCTCTATCCACTGAGCCAAACCGGCTAGGGCTTCCTATGATTTTTAAGAGGAGGAGAAAGTGTTGAGCTCTGGCCTAGTATTCTTTAATAAATTCTCCTATTCAACTTTAGGTGATTTTAAATTATTTGCTCCCTCCAAATTATTTTTTAAACTGAAATGCACTTTTATTTTATTTATTTATTTAAAAATATTTTATGGACTGATTTGAGAGAGTGAGAGATTGACTTGTTGTTCCACTCATCCATGCATTCATTGGTTGATTCTTATATGTGCCCTAACCAGGGATCAAACTCATAACCTTGGCCCTAGCCCTGTGGTCGGCAAACTGCGGCTCGTGAGCCACATGTGGCTCTTTGGCCCCTTGAGTGTGGCTCTTCCTAAGCCTTAGGAGTACTCTAATTAAGTTAATAACAATATACCTACCTATATAGTTTAAGTTTAAAAATTTTGGCTCTCAAAATAAATTTCAATGGTTGTACTGTTGATATTTGGCTCTGTTGACTAATGAGTTTGCTGACCACTGCCCTAGCCGGTTTGCCTCAGTGGATAGAGCATCGGCCCATGGACCGAAGACTGAAGGGTCCTGGGTTCAATCCCTGTCAAGGGCACATACCTGGGTTGTGGGCTCTATCCCTGGCCCTGGTCAGGGTGCCAGGGTGCGTGCGGGAGGCACTGAGTTGATGTGTTTCTCTCACATGGATGTTTCTCTCTCTGTTTCTCCCCCTCCCTTCCACTGTCTCTAAAAATCAATGGAAAAATATCCTCAGGTGAAGATTAACAAACAAACAAGGAAGACACACTCACAACCCTGGCTTATTGGGACGATGTTCTAACCAACCGAGCTACCTGGCCAGGGCTGGAATGCATTTTTTGTTTATGCTGTATATGGCAAATCTGGAGTGTGGAGAGAGAACTGGAGTGGGGCTAGAGTGGGAGCTGATACTGGAGTCCAGGCATGAGAGGAAAGCAGGGTATGTGTGTGGGTGACGGTAGTAAGTGGCCTGATTCCAGATATACTTTAAAGGTATTGCTGACAGACTTGGATGTGGGATGAAAGATGAGTCAAGGATGACTTCAGGAAGAGCTGTCATTTTGAGTTGGGTGAAAATGTTTCTGGGGAAAGAATGCATGCTAGTTGCCTATTAGGTGTCCAAATGGAGATATTGAGTAGACAATTGGCTGTATGTGACAGGAATTCAGGGAAGAGGCTGAAGAGGTGAGGCTGGGAAGCATCTGGGTAGATATGGCATCTGCAGTCATAAGAATGGAAGGGAGCACATGGAGTGAAAGCAGATATTACTGGGGCAATCCAGTAATAAAGGGAGAAGGGGAGGGGCCAGCAAAAGAGAAGAAAAGGAGGTAGGAAGGAACCCCTGAGCGTGGTTTCCTGGATGCCAAGTTTAGAAAGTGTGTCAAGGAAGGAGTGACCCATTGTGCCAAGTGCTGCACATAGGCCAGGTAAGATGAGGTTTAGCAAAGTGGAGGTCACTAGTGGTATTGATTGACAAGGGGAGTTTCCCTCCAGAGGGGGAAATTGAAAGCCTGGCAGAAGAGGCAGAAAGGAATGGCAAACAGTAGGCAAACCTCTGGAGTTTTGCTGTGAAGTGATGCAGAAATGGGAGGGGATGCAGAAATGGATGGAAGTGGTCACTTAAAATTTTTTTAAAATATATTTTTATTGATTTCAGAGAGGAAGGGAGAGGGAGAGATGGAAACATCAACGATGTAAGAGTATCATTGATCGGCTGCCTCCTGCATGTCCCACACTGAGGACTGAGCTGGAAACCAGGGCATATGCCCTGACTGGGAATTGAACCATTACCTCCTGCCATAAGCTGACACTCAACCACTGGGCCATGCTGGCGGGGCATATTCACTTTTTTAAAAAAAATATATTTTATTGACTTTTTACAGAGAGGAAGGGAGAGGGATAGTTAGAAACATCCATCAGCTGCCTCCTGCACACCCCCCACTGGGGATGTGCCTGCAACCAAGGTACATGCCCTTGACCGGAATCGAACCTGGGACCCTTCAGTCCGCAGGCCGACGCTCTATCCACTGAGCCAAACCGGTCAGGGCTCACTTTTTTTTTTTTCAATAGAAGAAATTAATATATGTTGGTGTGACAATGAGAATAATACAGAGAAAAGAGTGATGGGAGAAAACGGGGTGAATTGCTGGGGAAATAGAGAAAGTAAGAGAATAGGATTCAGTGCATAATCGTAGGAGTTGGTTTCAGTAGGCAATTTATACATAGTCACAGGAGAGAGGCAAGTAGGTGGGTAAATAAGGTGATGTGAGCTTTTGAGTTTACTGATCCCAAGATTTTCTTAGTGAAATAGGAAGCAAATTCAAGAGTAAGGATTTGTTCCCTCCTCCTTTTCTTCCTTCCCTTCCTTTCCATTCCCTTAAAAAAAAAAAAGTAAGGATGGGGAAGGAAGTCATGGAGGTTTGATGAGAGTAAAAATATGACATAATTCTTCAGGCTGTTGGGCGAAGCCAGCTGAGGGATATTTGAAACCAAGTTGAAAAGAATGTGTCCAGAGCTACATTTTGCCCTGCGAGATTGGTCCCTCTAGGCGCTCCGTAGTCTGCGTCCGTTTCCTTGGAGACGGAGACCCAGCTGAAGCGTCTGGTCTCCAAGGGAAGTCTGAGTGGCCTGAGTTACCACGCGATCCGCGCTGAGACTAGGAAGTTGGAGAAGACGAATAAGTAGGCACCCCAAGAGATCGGTGCCCCACGGACTCCCCCGACTCTCCTTCCATTTCCCCCAATGGCGCATGTCTTTCCAAAGTAGGTAAAAGGAGTACCGCGAGGTGGTGAAGTGCGCATGCATCGGCCTCCCGCCCACGGGGTGGGGGGGGGGGTTCTCTGCGGTCTTTTGCCCCCCACCCCCAACCCCTTCGCCCACAGCTCCCGAGCCCCGCCTCTCCCTGGCGCTCTCTGGGTTCTGGCTTGCCTGCGTCCCTAGGAAACTGCGGTTTTGGATTCGAGACCCCACGCCTGTTTCATGTTTGCTGCTTGCACCCCCATGGGCTGGGAATGATGGAAGGTCTTTCCCGCCCTAACTCTTTTCAGACCTACCGACTCTAGGAGTCGCCCTACAGTCCCCAAGTCCCAGACTCCGGTGAGTGCGGCAGGGGCTGGGGGAGGAGGGGAGAGGTTCGCTGATCCTGAGCCCGCGGTCCTGCTCTCCCTTCCCGCGGAAGCCACAGTCTTAGGTGGTAGAGTCCTGAGATCTGAATTCCAAGCCCTGCTGTGTCACACATTTGTTCTGGGACCGCGGCATGCCTTTGAACCTCAGTTTTCTTACCACCTTATCAGAATGTAAGGGTGTAGATATATTGTGCTGCTCTCTTATTTACCTATGATTCTATTCTGGTTCCCTTTGGGTCTTTTTCATGCCTTCTGTTTCTCACAGTTCTCAGCACCTCACAGCCTGGATGTGCTTAGGAAATTCAGGCTGGCTGATAAGAGTGATAGCTGACATTATGGAGCACTTACCACATGCTTTACAAATCTCTCTCAGAATTCTCACACCAACCTATGGAGGTAGGTTTATAATGAGATCCAGTTTGCAGATGAGAAAATTGAGGCTCAGAGAGGTAAAGTCACTTGCTCAAGGTCACTGATATCTATAAGGGGGGAAGCTGGAATTTAAAAAAAAAAAGATATATATTTTTATTGGTTTCAGAGAGGAAGGGAGAGGGAGAGAGAGAGAAACATCAATGATGAGAGAGAATTACTGATCGGTCGGCTCCTGCATGCTCCCTACTGGGGATCGAGCGCACAACCCGGGCATGTACCCTTGACCAGAATCGAACCTGTTAACCCTTACGTCTGCAGGCTGACTCTGTATCCACTGAGCCAAACCGGTTAGGGCTGAAGCTGGAATTTGAACCCACAAGGCTGTGTGACTGATTTTGTTTTGTCTGGTAGGATTATGTTTCAGGGCAGCGGTCCAAACATAAAATCAAGCCCTCCACTGCGCTTCCAGTCCTGCAAACCAGTGGCCATAAGAAAACCAAAATGAAGCCTTGGATTAGTGACCAGCCAGGTGAGCAGAGGCACTTTGGGCTGGTATGGGAGTTGGGGATCAGGTAGAGTGAATGCCCTTGGCCCTTGGTGACTCCATTTATTTTAGGGGAGGCTCACTGCTTTAATCAACAATCCTCAGATATCCAGTATTAATTCAGAAGCGTATATCTCATATATGTCAAAGGACATTTGTGCATCTGGGCAGGAGGAGGTAATCTTTTCTGCATGATTATTTAGGGACCTGGGCTCCTTTGCCTTGTGGCTATGACATTTTGTAAGGCCTTGACATTCTAAGCAAGAATATGGATGATTTTGTGGGCAGTTGTTTTTTCCCCCCAGGGCCCAGATTTGAAGTGACACAATATCACTTCCAGTCAGTAGCCATAACTCAGTCATCTGACCACTCCTAACTACAAAGGGAGATGGGAAATGTAGCCCAGCTGTGTGTCCAGGAGGAAAAGGAAATAGGGTGTGGTGAATTCAGGATCATCTCTGCTACATCATTGTCATGCCTTTCCAGGGGAGTTCTGAGGCCTTGCCAGGCAGACACGGCTTCAGATCTTGGCTCTGCCTTTTACTCTCTTGGTAAAATCATTTATTCCTCTGTGCTTACCTGATAGGATTGTTGTGAGAATTAAATGAGATGATCTCTTTAAAGCATTGTTGCTCAACCTTGCCAGATTCAACACTCCTTTTAATAACAAATATTTTGTAATATTCCTATAGTCTCCTGAAATAAACTTCATAGATAATATAACCTACTTACATATATAACAAAGAAATAATATAGTGCCCTAACTGTAAAGAAAAAGTAAAAGTTTTTTATAGTTTAATAACGTATTTCAATATGTAAATGCTCAGGTTGGACTCCACTAGAAGATATGATAAAGTCATCAGAAGCTTACTCATAGATGTAGAGCAAGCATGTCAAACTCAAAGGCTAACACGGGCCAAATAAACAAGGTTTAAGTTTATGTGGGCTGCAAAAAAACAGAAGCTTCAATTTTCATAGAAACATAGGATTATTTCGATAGAGACATGCTGAATACAAAGGGCTGAAATAAATGAGTCATTGTTAACATAAAATAATAGAACATTTTAATAAAAATTAATATTTTGTCTTGAACATTAACCTACCAAACACTGAATAACTGCACAAATTAATAAGCGTAACGCAAATAAAACTATTATTCTTGTTCTCTGAAAGCGAAATATTTCCTGTTGTGCACACCAAACAAGTCAGTCCAAGACTAATGACGTGGCAATCAGCTGTTCAAATATTCGCTGCTAGTATTAGTGGAGAGAAATGGTGCGCCTGCGCGTAAGGCTTGTAAGAGAAATGAATGCAACACGATTATAGTAATCAGTCATAAGCGAACGTTGTAGTTCGTTATTAGTAATTATGTATAACAGGATATTGTAAAAATTAAGTTACGAAACTTTTACTAAAACGTTTTTTACATGCCGTTATATTGTCTGGGCTGCAAAAATATTCATTGTGGGCTGCATGTGGCCTGTGGGCCGCGAGTTTGACATGCTTGATGTAGAGAGTCCTGGTGGATGTAACAGTTGCAAAGGCAGACTGACATGTGGTAGGATCCTGGGACTCTAATACCAGGGGGATTTTTCATTGCTGCCATGATTTACAAAGTGGTACCCATCTTTTGGTAAATTCCAAACAAAACAAAGCATGATCTTTCTCTTGATTGTAGCTGCTTCCTTGGAAAATTCAACATTAGAGTAAACCTCTGCAAAATATTCTCTCTCTCTCTTTCTCTCTCTCTCTCTCTCTTTTTGTCAGTCCTCACCCGAGGATATTTTTCATTGATTTTTAGAGAGAGTGGAAGGGAGGGAGCAAGTGGGAGAGATAGAGAGAGAGGGAGAGAGAGAAAGGGAGAGAGAAAAACATTGATATGAGAGAGACACATCAATTGTTCCCACATGAGCCCTGACCGGCATCAGGGATTGAACCTGCAACCCAGGTACTGCCCTTGACCAGGAACCCTTGACCTTTCAGTGCGTGGAGAGACACTCCAACCATTGAGCCACATTGGCCAGGACCCAACTGATTTTTGGCAAAGGTGCAAAAGCAATTCAGTGGAGGAAAGAAAGCCTTTTCCACAAATGGTGCTGGAGCAATTGGAAATCCATAGACAAAAAAGGAACCTCAATTTAAGTCTCACAACTTACACAAAAATTACCTTGAAATGTGGAGAAATAAAAATTAAATGCAAAAGTGTAAATCTTTTAGAAAAAATCATAGTGGAGAAAAATCTTTGAGCCAAGGAAGGAGTCCTTAAACTGTACACAAACAGCTTGATCTATAAAAGAAAAATGAAATAATAAGTCGGGCTTCATAAAAAACACACCCTTTTGTTCTGTGAGAGACTTTGTTAGGAGGATGAAAAGACAAGCTTTAGACTTAGAGAAAATATTTGCAAACCACATATCTGACAAAGAACTGCTATGTAGACTATATCAAGAATTCTCAAATTCAACAGAAAAACAATTCAGTTAGAAAATGGGCAAAAGATATAAAGAGACATTTTACTGAAGAGGATATACAGATGATAAAACACATGAAAAGCTGCTCAATATCATTATCCATTAGGAATATGCAAATTAAACTACAGAGGGATGTCACTGCATACCTATCAGAATGGCTACAATGAAAAATGGTGATAACACTAAATGCTGGGAAAGGGGAGAAACTATCATGCATTCATTGCTGGTGGGACGGTAAAATGGTTCAGCCATTCTGGAAAAGAATATAGCAGTTTCTAACTAAACTAAACATGCAATTCCCATAATAATCCAGCAATTGCACTCTTGCACATTTATTCCAGAAATGAAAACTTACGGTGCATGAATGTTTCATAGCAGCCTTATTTATAATACTCCCAAACTAAGAAACAACCCAGATATCCTTCAATGGGTGAATGGTTAAACAGTCTATGGTCCATCCATACCATAGAACATCAGTCAGCAATGAAAAGGAAAGAACTATTGATAACATTCAATGATTTGGCTGAATCTCCAGAGAATTTTGCTGAGAAAAAAAAAAAAGCAGCTAATCCCAGATACATACCACAATTCCATTTATATGATGTTCTGGGAATGACAAAATTATGGAAATGCAGAAACCATTAGTGATTGCTAGCAGTTAGGGACAGGGGTGGGAAGAGGATGGTAAGGCGAGGGAAGTGGGCGTAGCTGTAAAAGGCAGCATGAGTGATCCTGCGGTTAGGGAACTATCTTGCCCTTAAAAAAAAAACGTTTTCATTGATTTCAGAGAGGAAGGAAGAGGAAGATAGAAACATCAGTGATGAGAGGGAATCATTGATTGGCTGCCTATGCACCGTTAGGAAGGAGGGAATCATCAACTATGGCAACTGCTGCTGAGAGGCTAAGAAGATCGAGGCCTGAGAAATGACCCTAGATTAAGCAGAATGAAGGTGCTGAGGACCATGACAAGTGCTGAATCCATAGAAATGGAAGTTGGTCGAGTGGGTTCAAGGAAAATGGAAGGAGAGCACATAGGTAGAGCAAGTACAGGCAATGCTTCTGAAAATCTTTACTGTAATGAGAGTGGAGCCCTAGCCAGTTTGGCTCAGTGAATACAGCATCAGCCTGTGGACTGAAAGGTCCCAGGTTCGATTATGGTCAAGGGCATGTACCTCGGTTGCAGGTTCCTCCCCTGCCCGGGCCCTGGTCAGGGTGTGTGCAGGAGGCAACCAATCAATGTGTTTCTCTCACTTGGATATTTCTCTCTGTCTTTCCCTCTCTCTTCCACTCTCTCTAAAAAACAATGGAAAAATATCCTTGGGTGAGGATTAAAAAAAAAGTTTAATTGAAAAGAAAAGATAAATCAGGGCTGCTACCATTAATGAAAAGAAATAACCATTATTAAAGCTACAGATCTTTCTAAGTACTGAAGTTCAATTTACAAACCTCATTATTTTTATAAATACTTATAAGAGGGATTTTGGAACTTGGTTAATTAAATTCCCCTATGTCCTTTAAGCCCCATTTAAAAATTTAGTATATTTATTTTCATTTCTAAATAGTTCACTTATCTGATTAACAAAAACCATTGGGTATTTAAACAGTTTTTGTACATCTAATAAAATAAACTTCTAAATATGGATAATCTTATATTTTTCATATATACATATATTTTTTTATTGATTTTAGAGAGGAAGGGAGAGAGAGAGATAGAAACATCAGTGATGAGAGAGAATTATTGATTGGCTGCCTGCAGCATGTCCCCTACTGGGGAGGATTGAGCCTGCAACCCAGGCATGTGCCCTTGGTCGGAATCGAACCTGGGACCCTTCAGTCTGCGGGCTGATGCTCTATCCACTGAGCCACATGAGCTAGGGCATCATCATTGATGTTTCTATCTCTCTTTTCCTCTCCTTTCCTCTCTGAAATCAATAAAAATATATTTAAAACAAAACAATAATTACTACTAATAAAGTAGAAAAATCAGTGACCAGCAGCTATGGTGAGAGGCAGCTACCTGGCTGGGTATTATCATGACAAGCAACTACACGTGCCAGAGTATGTAGCAAGCTAGACTATGTCGCAACACAGCTACGCACGTGGCCATTTCCATGATAGGTAATAATAAGGGACAAAACACAATATGGTCTTGAATGGAAAGAGCTTAATTATTATTTTTTTAATACATATTTTTATTTTATTTTTATTCAGAGAGGAAGGGAGAGGGAGAGAGAGATGGAAACATCAATGATGAGAGAGAATCATGATCCGCTGCCTCTTGCATGCCGCACACTGGGGATCGAGCCCAGAACCCGGGCATGTGTCCTGACCGGCAATCGAACCGTGACCTCTTGGTTCATAGGTTGATGCCCAACCACTGAGCCATGCTGGCTGGGTGAGCCTAATTGTTTTTTAACCCCATATTTATTTACTTATGTTATATTTACTATGTCAATGCATAGCAAAAAGTTTGTAGGAAAATGCAAAAAAAAAAAAGAACCCCTAAAATCTGGAGGAGTTGGAAGCAGAGTCAGAGGCCATGGTGACCCCTGTCCACCCCGTCCCTGACAGGTGGATACTAGACCTGCATGGGAACTGCTGCAGGGACGGGAGCCCGCCGCCCACCAGGGCCTGCCCTCCCGTGCGCAGCCCATTCTGGGAATAGACAGCCCTGTGACTAGAAGGATCTTCGTTTTATTGAGACCAAAATATCATTCCCTGTAATTATGACCTTTGGGTCATGATTTGCCTTAAGAGTAGACACATATGTCTAATCCTAAGTGTATACGTTCAGCTGGTCCTTACTTAGCCAAGGATTAGCCCCTGAGGGACCCGGAAACTGGATTGGGTGATTTTCCTGAAAAACGCAGAGAATGACTATGCTATGGAAAAAGAAAAACAAAGGAGAACAGTCAAGCAATATACTGTATTAAAAGTTATGTGACTGTGGTCTCTCTCCAATTATTGACCCTTCTTCTTGTGATAATGTGAGATGGTACAATGCTACGTGATGAGGTGTAGTGAGGTGAGTGAAGTAGGCTTTTTGAGGTAGCATTTGGCTACTACCGACCTGATGATATGTCAGAAGGAGGATCATTGAGCCACGATGATGTCATGTCTTCCACCCCCAATTTAATGCCTTTTCCATCTTGACTAAGCGGTTACCATGCACGGTGGCTGTACCTTGTGCAGCCTGAGGTGCGACAGCAAAACCAGCACAGATTTATTTTTTCTTCTTCACAATTTCATGGGTAGAAGATTCGTTGTTATAGACCTTAGCAGCCTCAGTGTACGATTTTTTTTTCTTTCCTTGATGAGAATTTTCATCTTTTCACCTAAAGGAAGCACTACATGGCTTCTCTTTGGCACATCTGAATCGGCAGCATCACTTCTAGTGCTTTGGGGCCATTGTGAAGTGAGGTGAGGATGACTTGAACACCCACTGTGACACCCACAGTGGACCTGGTCGCCCAGATGGCTGCTCAGCGACTAACGGGCAGGGGGCATGTGCCGTGTGGAGATGCTGGACAGAAGGACGCTTCACGCCCTGGGCGGGATGGTCTGGATGGTGTCGTGAGATTTCATCACGCTTCTCAGAACAGTGGGCACTGTAACACTAGGAGTTGTTTATTTCTGGAATTTGCCATTATATATTTTTGGACCCTTGTTGACTGTGGGTAACTGAAACTACAGAAAGTTAAACCGTGGATGGCGGCGGGGGGTAGGGGACCGGGTACTGTACAGATAATTCCTAACGTTCACACAAAATTATTTTAACTTCATCACTTTAATACTTAATATTAAACTTTCCCAGGGCTGAGGGTATTGATTCATTAAAGACGGAGTATTTTTATGAAGTGAACTGTGTTGCACGGAGGCAGAGGCTCTGGTGGGGGCTGCAGCATTCCGGTGACCTGTCTCATGCCCTGCGTGCAGGACTTGCCGAGAGGACCCAGCGACTCTCAGGACATGCCCTCCACATGTCTTACTTTGATCAGAATTATTCTCCTATCTTCCTTTTCTGGCAGGACCACACCGCTTTTATAGGTATTTCAGAGACAGCCAGTTGGAGTTCTGTGTAGCTTCTGTGCTGATGGCGTGGTCCTGATCCCAGTGCTCAGGTCATTATAACAGTGACAGCTGATACTGTGTATTCAGTACTCGATGCGTGTTAGGTGCTCTTCCAAACACTTTAAAATGTAGTAACTTCTTATTTAATTTCCATGACAACCTGTCAGGTGGGCATGATGATGATTTCTATTTTGCAGATGGGGCAACTGAGGGACAGAGAGATCCTGATTCATGTCCAAGGTCACACAGCTGATACAAGGCAGAGCCTGGATTCAAACCCAGGCGGCCTGGCTCATTAGTTCTTGCTCTTGACCCTTACCCTGTTTGAACTTGCCTTTGGCCGGGTTGGTGGGAGAGATTGGGGGCACATGGCTGTTTCCTGTTCCTCTCTCCCGCCTCTGTTCGTACCCACAGTCACTGGGTATGTGGAAGTTGCCTGGGCTTTACTGAGGGATATGCATTTCATCCTTTGTCTCACTGTCACACATTGTAAAGTTGTCCGTGGCTCGGGCTGGGGCTTGGACCATCTCTCATGGATGGTGCATTCCTTGGGACCTGACCCAGGCCTGCTCATACCCCCTACTCTCTCTGCCCTGTACCGTGCCCTAGGGCATTCCAAGTCTCCCACGTTGATGACATGCCAGCTGGGGAATCCACAAGACCCGTGCAGAGGGAAGTTGGACTCTGGGAAGATCAAGCTCCGGCTAATGAGGGTATTTGGAGCATCCTCCCAAGGTGCTGGGGCCCCCAGGGCAGGGGCATGGGGATGGCGGTAGCAAACATGCGCCGGGCACTTGTGGAAAACCATCAGAATCCCTTTTCATTTCCGGGCATTAGGAACGCAATCTGTGGCTTATTCATTTAAACATTCCCAGTAAATTCCTTTCATGGAATACACTGCATTTTGAAACAAGGCTTAGAAGCTTACGGTTCATTTTTCTACATCAGCTGACACAATTTTGGATAATTAATTTTCTCATCGTCCATTGTTTTACATGGTTGGGACAATGTTTCAAAATATTTGAAATGACTAAAAGAAGGAGGGGGCTTTCATGTCTACAGCAAGAAGTAAAATACTAAATACTGTAAGTACGAGCGAATACTATAGAAGAATTCTTAACTTCTCCAGGAAAGTGTTTAATAGCTCAACGAGCAATGACTGCTATACAAAGAAATAGGGGAAAATGTATTTGCTTTGAAACCTTTTTACCCCTTTAACCTTCAGTTTTTTTTTATTAGTTAAGGTATTACAAATGTGTCCTCATTCCCCCCATTAACCCCCAACCTCCCCCGCTAACCTTCAGTTTTGCAAAATGATTTAGAGGCCGTCCAGCATTCTTAAAGGAGAAACTCATATTTCCGATGTTATTTTTATCCTGACTTTAGAAGTGTTCATGTATTTTTGTTTGATAAAAAACGTGAACTTGGACAATTTGGCTCTAAAACCTGTGCTACCAATTTCTGATACTGTCTCTTGTAGTCATTCATTTGTTTACTTAGTCAACACATATTTATGGAACACCCATGTGCCAAGCCCTGTTCTCAGTGTGGGGATTCACCCGTGATTTGGCCTCTGACATTAGGTAGCTCACATTCTACTGGGGGAGACAGACAGTAAACAAGACAAATATGTAATACTGAGGCCCAGTGCACGAAATTCGTGCACGGGTAGGGTCCCTAGTAGCTGCCGGCCATGGCCTGCCTCCCCCAGTTGCTGGCTGCCGGCCGTGGCCTCCCTTTGTTATGCACCGTCCTCTGGTGGTCAGCACAAGTCATAGTGAGCGATCAAACTCTGGGTCGGTCAAACTCCCGAGGGGACACTTTGCATATTAGGCTTTTGTATATATAGATGTGTGGTGATGCGAACTGCTATGAGGAGGCATAAAGATAAGGTTAGAGGGCTAGAGAGGCACCGAGGAGGGAGTGACTGTGACTGTTTTAGATGGGGTGGTCAGGGAAGGTTGCTGAGGTGGTAATATCTGAGGGAGGAAGGTTTCAAGTAGAGGAACCTCAGTGCAGAGGCTCTGCGGTTGGTGTGAGGTCAGTGTGGCTGGAGCAGTTGATGAGGGGGAAAGATGTTGGGATGCGAGGATAGGGGGGAAAGCTTGTATACGGCCCTGTAGTCCATGATTACACTTTGTGTTTTTACTCTGAGTAAGACAGGAAGACCCTGGAGGCTTATGAGTAGAGCAGGGAAGTGATCTGACAGATTTTCACAGGAGTCCTTGGGGCGCTGCTGCTGTGGAGAATGGACTTGGGGAGACGAGGGGAAACAGGAAGGGAGCACAGACTACCCATGGGTTTGTCCTTGGAGGTGGAGTAGGATCCTCCTCTGCCTCTCAGCCTCAGGACAATTATGTATTCAATCCACAATGCTTGAGAGAGTGCCTGCTGTGTGCTAGGCACCATGGCTGGTGTTGGGGACCCAGCCATGAACATGGCACTAAGAATTTGTACTGTTACGGGGCTTGCACTTTAGTGGGGAGAAACAATAAGTGGATTTTATTTATTTTTTAGTTGTGGTTAATCCTCACCTGAGAATATTTTTTCCACTGATTTTTAGAGAGAGTGGAAGGGAGAGGTAGAGACACAGAGAGAGGAAACATCAATGTGAGAGAGACACATCGATTAGTTACCTTTTGCACTTGCCCAGACCGGGTGGAAGATGGAGCCTGCAACAGAGGCATGTGCCCTTGACCTGAATCAAACCCACAACCCTTCAGTCTGTGGGCCAACGCTCTAACCACTGAACAAAACTGGCTAGGGTGATAAATGAATGTTAAAAACCCAGGGAATAGGTCCCCATCAGTGTATTCAACCCATACTTCTGGAGCTCTTGGTAATGTCCCATGTGCTGGCTGTCACATTTTATGTTATTTATTTTTATTATTTTTATTTTTTAAAATATACTTTTATTGATTTCAGAGAGGAAGGGAGAGAGAGATAGAAACATCAGTGATGAGAAAGAATCATTGACCGGCTGCCTCCTGCACACCCCACACTGGGGATTGAGCCCTCAACCCGGGCATGTGCCCTTGACTGGAATCGAACCCGGGAACCCTTCAGACCGCAGGCCGACGCTCTATCCTCTGAGCCAAACAGCTAGGGCTGGCTGTGACATTTTAGTGGGGGACACAGGAAACAAGGTAATAAGAAAAATATCTGTTATGTTGATTGGTGATAAGTCCTAGGACAAAAATACATTGGAAAAAGGGAGACATAATTATAAACTATAATTAGCAATTACAGATTGGAGTAAGGGTCAGGAAGGAAGCGAAGAAGGGTTTCTACTCTAGATCTGGTGGTCAGAGAAAATCCATTTCTAGGGCAGAGGTCTGTAGTGTATCTAAATGACTGGGAGCCCTAGCCGGTTTGGCTCAGTAGATAGAGCGTCGGCCTGAAGTGGGGTGTGTTAAAAGTAAGATTCCTGGTGCCAACCCCAGTGATGCTGGCTTAGTGGACCTGAGACTTGGAGACCGGCATCTTTCACAAGACGCTCTGGTCCCTGTGGGCCATATTTGGGTATTTTGGTGTGGAGATGTGGAGGCAAGATAGTGGAGGGGGCCCTGGCTGGTGTTCTCAATGGTTAGAGCACCGGTGCATGGGTTTGATTCCCGGTTAAGGGCACTTAGTGAGGTTGCAGGATCATCCCCAGCCCTGGTCGTGGCATGTGCGGGAGGCAACCAATCGATGTGTCTCTCTCACATCAATGTGCTCTCTTCTTTCTCTCTCTCTGTCTCTCCATCCCTTCCTTCCACTCTAAAAATCAATGGAAGAAATCTCCTCGGGTGAGGAGTAAGAACAACAAAAAGATTGTGGAGTGGTTAGGAGCCAAACTTCAAGGGCAACAGCTCTGCTGTGTGTGACCTTGGATAACTGACTGAACCTCTCTCACTGTTTCTGCTTCTGTAAAGTGGGACGAATAATAGTGCCAACTGAGATAGTGTGCTTAACACAGTGTTGGGCACATAATAGGTTTGCCCTATTACTCTTTTTAAAAAAATATATATTTCATTGATTTTTTCCCCCCAGAGAGTAAGGGAGGGTCTCTCCATCCCTTCCTTCCACTCTAAAAATCAATGGAAGAAATCTCCTCGGGTGAGGAGTAAGAACAACAAAAAGATTGTGGAGTGGTTAGGAGCCAAACTTCAAGGGCAACAGCTCTGCTGTGTGTGACCTTGGATAACTGACTGAACCTCTCTCACTGTTTCTGCTTCTGTAAAGTGGGACGAATAATAGTGCCAACTGAGATAGTGCATATAACGTGCTTAACACAGTGTTGGCCACATAATACGTACATAGGTTTGCCCTATTACTCTTTTTAAAAATATATATATTTCATTGATTTTTTTTTCCCCAGAGAGTAAGGGAGGGGGAGAGGGATAGAGAGTTAGAAACATCGATGAGAGAGAAACATCATCGATCAGCTGCCTCCTGCACACTCCCCACTGGGGATGTGCCTGCAACCAAGGTACATGAAAGCGGTGTGGTCCTGCCAGAAAAGGAAGATAGGAGAATAATTCTGATCAAAATAGGGCATGTGGAGGGCATGTCCTGAGAGTCGCTGGGTCCTCCCTGCGAAAGTAATTAAGGATAAATGAACATAATGATGTATATATACAAAAGCCTAATATGCAAAGTGTCCCCTCGGGAGTTTGACCTACCCAGAGTTTGATCGCTCACTATGACTTGTGAGCAGGAGGGCTTTCTTTATTGTCCTATCAATAAAATAGAGAGTTAGAAACATCGATGAGAGAGAAACATCATCGATCAGCTGCCTCCTGCACACTCCCTACTGGGGATGTGCCTGCAACCAAGGTACATGCCCTTGACCGGAATCAAACATGGGACCTTTCAGTCCCCAGGCTGATGCTCTATCCACTGAGCCAAACCGGTTAGGGCTGCCCTATTACTCTTATTATTATCTGAGGAATATGAAAGCTGAGGACTAGTAAGGGAGGGGGGTTCTAGCAAAGGACAGAGAAATAAGGAAAAAGAGAAGGAACGAAGAAGAGGGCACATAGGTATGGCAGAGGGCGAGGGTGAGAGCCAGTGCGAATAGCATCCGCTCCTGTTCACTGAGTGCATTCTGAGTGTGTGAGACTTGCTACTAAGTGGCTTGGTTGTGAATATGATCTCGCTGATTTTTTTTACAGCAGCTCTCTGAGTGGGTAGCAGTTATCTATGTTTGAAATCAGTATAGTGGGGCTCTGGGAGTCTAATTTGCCCAGTTTCCTGTAGGTGGTGAGTGCCAGAGTGGGATTTTTGTTGTTGTTGTTAATCCTCACTTGAGGATATTTTCCATTGATTTTTAGAGAGTGAAAGGGAAGGGAGAGAGAGAAAAACATTGATGTGAGAGTCACATTGCTTGGTTGCCTCCTGCAGGAGCCCTGACTGGGGGGCCTGGAATAGAACCTGCAACCCAAGTATGTGCCCTTGACCAGGAATCGAACCCAAGACCCCCGGTGTGTGGGCTGTTACTCTAACCACTGAGAAACACTGGCTAGGGCCAAGAGCTGGGATTTGAAGCAAGGTATGTCTTGGCCTAACATACATGTCTTAATCACTTTGAGGTTCAGCCATGCCTTGCAGCTTTAAGCCCATTCAGTTCCTTGTCTTAGTGTAGTGAAAAGACAGGCATAGTCAGAAGTCCGCCTTTCCAGTTCTGGTGACCCCACGCCCTGGCTGTGTGACTTTGGGCAAGTCACTTAACCTGTCTGAGCTTACACCTATCAATAAAATAGAGTCGTGAACATAGGGCTGTTAGAGGATGAACTGATACCATGTGCCATGTACCAAATGAGGCACACTGTGCAACCCATAGTAGGTCCTCAACAATTGTTACTGCTGTTATTATTGTAGATTATTGTACTTGCTGGGGGTGACTTAAGCCCTTAGTAAGGGTTCGCGACCCCTGAAAATACATCCTGCCTATCAGATATTTACATTACGATTCATAACAGTAGCAAAATTACAGTTATGAAGTAACAAGGAAAATAATTTTATGGTTGGGGGTCACCACAACATGAGGAACTGTATTAAAGGGTCGCGGCATTAGGAAGGTTGAGAACCACTGCCTTAGACCCTCACTATTTCCCCAGGGGCATTGTATGAAATGAGAGATTACTCAATTCAGCTGCCTGGTGAAAAATGTTAGCGATCATCATCCACTCTGCCTCCCTGCTTCTCCAGACATGGCCCATTACCTCTGCCACCTCTTTACCTACCTGGGGCATTTTCTATTATAATAATTATTACTACTATATTTCAGTGATTTTAGGCAGCTATTGATAATAAGTCGCACCTTTATTTTATTTATTCACTAATAAAATATTTGTCAAGTAGATTGAGACAGGCATCAACTGTAAGATGCATCCCTACTTTAGAGAAGTAAAATTATGGGAAAATGGGCATTTCAGAATGGATGAAATAGTTGGCGGTGCTGTGACCCGCTGACAATGGGGAACCGCCTCCCAGCATGGGTTGCATTTACCAGTCGAGGCCACTAGGGGGCGAGCGTGCGGCCGGAGGGAATTGGTCCCTGGGCTCGGGGATGCGCAGGCTTCCGCGCCCTGCGCAGCACCACCTCACATCCTCCTCCCTCCGCCCACAGTCGTTGCTCAGGAGCCGGCGAACCGCACTCCAGGAGCTCTGCAAGCAGGAGGGCTTTCTCATCAAGCTCAATCACGACCTGATCACGACCATCAAGGACATGGAAGACAGCTCAGCCCTGAAAACACGCGGGATGCTGCAGCAGCAGGACATCTTTGGGGTGAGGCTCCACCTTGGCCCTGCAGCCCCGCCTCTGCCCTCTGCGCCTCGGTCCCGCCCACCATGCCGCCCTCCTGAGCGCTTTGGCGCCCTCTCCTGGTCTCCTGGCCGGTTGCACAGCTGCTGCTTCCATCTGGAAGATACATCTCTTACACACTTGGCCCCACCTACCAGGGCTTTGGAATCAGACCTGGATTGGGGGGCTCATCCTAACGTCAGTACTTATTAGCTGCGAGACTTTGAGTTAACCTCTGAGTGGTGTAAAATGGCTCAATAGCACCCATTCCAAGGGGTGGTTGTGGTGTACTTGGTACACACCCAGTAGATGTGCAAGAGACGGTAGCTGCTGTCATCACCAGCAGCAAATACTTACACAGTGCAATACTAAGCGCTTTGTCTATTCTCAAGCAGCCTTACAACAACCCTGTGGGCTGGGAATTATTATTATCTTTATTTTACATATGAAGAAACAGAAACATAGGCTAGGTGACTTGGTCAAGGTCAGTTTAAGGTCACCCAGCTAGCAGGGTCTGTGTTCCTTCCACCAGCTGTGATACCACTCTCGTCCAGTGATGGCACTTCCGGTCCATGGGGGTCCATGGGTTAAGAGTGAGTGACTTTGCAGAGAGCCCAGGGAATGTCCTCAGCCTCCTTAGGACAGGCTAGGTGAGCTGTGGTGAGAGGCTGAACGTTCACAGGAGACCCAGGAATTCAGGATGAAGAAGAGTCGGAGAAAATGGTTTAATGGAGAAGTGCTTCTCCTCTCTGACTGCCCTCTGCCCAGGGTGAAGAGGGAGTGAGCTCACCTGAGCCTGTGAGATGAAGAGAAAATTGAGTCTTGTGAACTCGGTTGGTCTGCTCAGGCTGCTGTAACAAAATACCACAGACCAGGTGGCTTAAACAGCCAAAATGTGTTTTCTCATAGTTCTAGCCCAGTGGTTCTCAACCTTCTGGCCCTTTAAATACAGGTCCTCATGTTGTGACCCAACCATAAAATTATTTTCGTTGCTTCTTCATAACTGTAATGTTGCTACTGTTATGAATCGTAATGTAAATATCTGATATGCAGGATGGTCTTAGGCGACCCCTGTGAAAGGGTGGTTCGACCGCCAAAAGGGGTCGCGACCCACAGGTTGAGAACCGCTGTTCTAGAGGCTGGACGTGTAGGATCAAGATGCCAGCGGGGCTGATGTCTGGTGAAGTCTCTCTGCTGGGGGTGTAGATGGCTGTCCTGCTGTGTTCTCACATGGCCTTTTCTCTGTGCTCACATGGAGTGAGAGAGCTCTCTGGCGTCTTTTCCTCTTCTTATAAGGACACTAGTCCTATTGGACTAGGCCCCCACCCTTTTGTTCATTTATCCTTAATTACTTTCCTAAAGGCCTTATCTCCAAATACAGTCACATTAGGGGTTAGGGCTTCACTATATGAATTTGGGGTGGGGTGGGAACACACAATTCAATCTATAACAGAGACCAAGGAATACGCAGTTATTCGGCCCGAGAAAACTTAGTAGAATATTCTCCAGACCTAAAGTCATTGTCCCTCTCCTATGTCGTGGACTAATTAATAAATTTTTTACATTAATTAATACACTCCCCTGAGTACTTGGGAAACAGTGATCTCAAGCTCTCATTCTAGTGGGGCCCCAGGCAGTGAGAAAGCCATTTGTGGGTACTGATGGGGATGAGGGGCGCAGAGCTTAGTGGATCTCTCTAACCCAGACATGGGAGGATCGGGAAGGCTTCCTGGAGGAAGTGGTGCTGGGGTTGAAACATGCAGACATAGGTGTTAACTGTAGAGAGCAGAAAAGTGTCCCAGGCAGAGAAAATGGGCATAAAAGGCCTGGGTGAGAAGGAGCATGGCCAACTCAAGGAGCCGCATGTTGCTTAGTGTGGCCAGACAGTAAGACCTGAGGAAGGGATCAGGGAGAGAGGAGGTTGGCCCAGGCCGGGGGAGGGGGCTTTGCCAGACAAGGTAAGGGGTTTGGACCTTGTTTACAGGGCAGAGGGGAGCCGTTGGAAAGTTCTAAATAGGAGAGGGACAAGGTCAGTGTTTTTTAAAGAAAGGTCCTTCTGACTGCTGTGTGGAGCAGCACTCAGTTAGGGGTAGCTGTTGTCATATTCAGACACGAGATGGAGAAAACCCGAGTAAGATAGTGGCAGCAGGGATGGAGAGAAGGGCATGGCTGGGAGTGCTGTTTGGGGTATAACAGCCATACCACTTGGTGACATTTTGAGTGAGAGAGGGGAGAAGAGGCTGCTGCCTGGGTTTGGGCCCATGTGCCTGTGTGTGTGTGGGGGCTGATTGGGTGGTAGGAAAGGGGAACGTTGGGAGGGGGTAGGTGACTGCTTTCTAGCCGTGGAAAGGTTCCTGGGCCTGGGAGTGGGACTGGGTTTGAGGACTCCTCGGAGGCAGTGCTGAATTCCCTGAGAGGCCATGCTCTGGGGGGGGGGAGGCGAGCTCACCCCACCACTCCCACAGACCATCATCAACAGCTTGGGGTACTCCAACAAGAAGAAGCTGCAGCAGATGACGCGTGAGCTGCAGGAGTGGAAGGAGAAGGAGGAATTCAAGATGAGCTGTAAGACTCCACGAGGCGAACTCCTCGATCCTCCCCTGGCCCGCTGGGGAGGTCAGCTGCAGGGCCCTCACCTTGTACCTACTGTTCTGGAACCAGCAGGCCCATCTTCTCCCTGCTGAGGCAGATGGGATTGTTAACATCCGGAGCTAATAGCTTGCTTATGGAGTGTTTAGCAGGCCCAGGTCTCATGTGTCTTCATTTTTATGAGCACACACTCAGTCATTGCAACTATCTGTGAGGGAGGGAATAGTCTCCCATTTTACAGATGAGGAAACGGAGGCTGAGAGAATTGAAGTAGCCTGCCGAAGGTTATACAGCTAGCGGCCGAGATCCAGCCCAAGCCTGCCTCTGTTTCCTGCCAAGTTCGCTGTGGGAGTTGGGGCCCGGGCCAGGTCCCAGGTCTCCCGCTGTCTCTCCTTGAGCCTGTGGCTTCATTCCCCTGAGCAGAGGGACGGTGTGGTGAGTCAGAAAGCATCAGCTAGCGGGGGTCCCCGCCAAGGAGGACGGCAGGATAGACTTCGTCTTAATCCTACTGTGGCTGTGTCTCGGGAGCCAGTGTTGCCCCATCTCCCTGGGCTTGTGTTGCAGGTGTGAGTACGAGGAGGCTGAAGTCCAGGGAGGGAGGTCTTGGTGAGGGTCACATAGCAAGTTGTTGACAGAGCTGGGACTAGTCTCGGGATCGTGCACCAGTTTAGTTTCCCTTTCCTGCCCCGCGTTGCTTCTTCAGTGGGTGGAAGACTCTCGGGGGCCTTAGCTTGTCACCACCTCCCAGCCTCGTGTGAGCTCGCGTCAGCCCAGAACCCGATCCACTGGCTAAGGAGAGCTTTGCCTCCTGGAACCCGGGGAGGGGTCCTTGAGGGAGGATCCTGCCTCCTGTTCCCCCTGACTTCTCCAGACCTGAAGCAGCAGGTGGAGCAGCTGAATGACAAGATCAAGAAGACCCAGGAGGAAGTGAATTTCCTGAGCACTTACATGGACCATGAGTATCCTGTCAAGTTGGTCCAGATTGCCAACCTTCTGCACCAGCTGGAGCAGGTGAAGGACAACCAGCAGGTCGGTGAGCCCCTGGCTTTGCCCTGTCGTTCCCGGGGGGAGGCAGGGCCGGTGGCCAACATGTGCCTGCTGCCCCCCAGGATGAGTTGGATGACTTCAATAAGATATGCCGGGTGGTCCTGGGGTCTTTGTCTGATCAGATTCAGATGAAGAGAAAAAAGCGGCTGGGCTCTCTGGTGGTGGTGAGTAGCCAGCGCCGGCACCCAACCCTGCTTGCCTTCCCAGCCTCGGCCTCCAGGCCCCCTGCATGCACTGCTTCCCAGGAAGAGGCATATGGGGCTAGACTCTCCTTCGTTCACAGAAAATCCAGCATCCCATTCAGGGCGTTCTCCTCCAGAAGACCCGGGAAAACCAGAGCATGGCGAAGTACACGGACAAGTACAGAGGAGTGAGTGGCCAGGGCGGTGATGGTCCCCCCCCACCCCCGAGGGAGCAGAGGGGTGGGGAGTCCCCGGGACCTGCGGGAGACAAGCTTGTCCTGACCTGGTGCTCAGGAGTCTTGGACTCCGGTGCTGGCCTCTCTCCTTGCAGTGCCATCACTGTCACTTGCTCCTCATCTGAGAAGGGGATTGGTGGCGGCTTAGGCCTTGCCTCAGAAACCCACATCGCTGGGCATGACCCATTAGCAACATCACCAAGCATTGCCTACGCAACCACATTTTACTGTCACCAGCCACCCCCTATCTTCACCCCTTAATTCTTGTCATTGACCACCTCTCATTACCAGTGTTAATGAGCGTCACCATCACCACCCTTTTGTGTTAATTTCCATGACCTTCATCAGTTACCTTCGCCATCTCCATCGGCCTCATTAACCCTCATGACCAAGCACCGCCCCCTGCTCTGCAGCCTGTATGCGTTCTCCGGGGTCCCCTCACCTCTCTCAGGACCATCAGGCCTTGTCACTGATCTGTGAGCCAGCCCTGCCTGCCAGAGCAGCCCCTCTCCGGAGTCCCGCAAGTCCCTACTCCGCGCCCATTTTGCCCTTCCCTACCTTTGGTTGGGGTCATATGGATTCTCAGTTTCCCCTGCTGTCCCTCTCTCAGTTTGTCAACGAGTTTGAGGAAGAAATACCCGATTTAAGGGCCGAGGTGGAGCGGCTCCGAGTCCAGACCCAGGAACCCCGAGAGATCGCATTTGCAGATGTTCTGCTTCGGAGACCCAAGTATGTGATCATTCTGCTACTTCCCGGGCATCTCCCCTGCCTCTTGCTACTGTATGGGAAGCATAATGCCTGTCCCTTACGAGCATTTATTGCATGCCAGCCTGGTCTCATTTGTTCCTACCAGTGACTGAGGTCGGAATTATTACCCCTCCCCCTTTTTCTTTAAAAAAAAATATTGGTGAAAGATGAATGAATGGACTAGTTTATTTTATTTTGATAAAATAAAATAAAGTACACGGACAAGTACAGAGGAGTGAGTGGGAGTTGGGGCCCTCTCTTTTTTACAGAGAGGAAGGGAGAGGGATAGAGAGTTAGAAACATCGATGAGAGAGAAACATCCATCAGCTGCCTCCTGCACATCTCCTACTGGGGATGTGCCCGCAACCAAGGTACATGCCCTTGACCGGAATCGAACCTGGGACCCTTCAGTCCGCAGGCTGACGCTCTATCCACCGAGCCAAACCGGTTAGGGCATTACCCCCCTTTGATCGAGGAAACTGAGGCCCAGCTGGTGTCTGTCACATAGTGAGTGCTTGTTCCATAGGCGCCGACAGGAGGACTGAGGGTCTGAGAGGGCAAGTAGGAGACACAGGTGAGACAGAGCCAGGTTTCCAAAGGCGTCATCAGACTTCAAAGAGAGCGCTCACCTGAGGGGCCCCAGCATCTTAGAGCTGAGTTCCTGCTCCTCTTGACCTTAGACCTCTGTAGGGGAACACCAGTCCTGTCGGACCCATTCCTTTTTCATTTTTGAGTGTTTGTGTGCATTCGTACGCGGTTGGGCTGCGAGGCTACAGATGGGGCTCCCCAAATAAGTACCAGTGTTCTCAAGAGCAGGGCTCCCCTGAGGACATGCTTCCACACCTACAACCCTGGCACCCCCACTTGGCCTCTCACACCTCTCGTTGCTCTTCCTTACCAGGTGCACCCCAGACATGGATGTCACCCTCAACATCCCCGTGGAAGAGCTGCTACCCTTCTAGATGGCAGGGCCATGGCCACCCTTCCCTCCCTGCTCTCTTCCCTACACCTGGAGCCTGAGTCGTCTCCTTCCAAGACCATATTCCCATTGGTACCCTCCTCGTCTGCCTCTCCTTTCCTCCCTCCGTCCTTTTGGTTTGGGGCTACCACTTGGGCCAGGTGGGAATTTCCAGCCAAGTCCACCACTTCCTTTTACCAATAAAGCTGGATCTGCATTTGCTCTTTGCCAGTGCCTGGGGGAATGGACTTTGTCTTAATATGAGGGCAGCTGTGTTGGCTGCACCTGGGGCTCAAAACTTCTCGAGAAATGCCAGACTGATCCCCAGCCTGAATCTCCGTGGCTCTGTGGCTCCAGGCCGCCCCCTTCCTGGTTCAGTGGAAGCCCAGGTTCCGTCCCAATTTGTGCCCAGTCCTGTTAGGACCAGTGTCAGGGTGAGTTTAATACACTTGGGAACTTGCTGGGCCTTCATTGACAAATGAGCCCCAATAAAACTAAGCATGACAAAAAGGCCATACATTGACAGTTCGTGGTCATGGCCATTGTGGCTGAATCCCACCATTGTAGGTGTGTGGGAAGGGGGCAGGGGGGAGGGAGTTGCCCATGGGTTAGCAGGAGTGTAGGTCTGGGTGACAGCACTTGGTAGGGAGGGACCAGCCCACATACATTTGAGGATATTTCTCATGTGTGTCCATTTTAAGTTACTCTGCCCCTGATTCACTGTCCACACCATATTGTCTGCTAGGCTGGGTATAGTTACCCCCACCTCCTGTGAAAGTTCATCATTATTAGCTACGAGTCGGCTCTTGTATCCGTGGAATTTTGGCAAAGTTTCTGCCTTAGGCAAATTAGGATTATCAGGATTCCAAATCAGCATAGTTGGGGTCATGCGGGTGGGGTGGGGGGGGTGGTCACTAGATAATGAAAGGATCCCATCCGGTTATCTGTCCTTAGTCTGTCCACCATCCTTTATTGGAGCATTGGAGGGCGGCAGGAGTGAGAACGGATGTATGGGGATGTGGAGGAGGAGGGGGAAATCGGCGTGCTGTTGCCTTTACTGGCAAGAACAGGTGTCTTCAGAGCATTTTGCAAAGGTGTAGAATGCCCCATAGGTGGAAAATGTAGCATAATAAAGGTTGTGGGCAGGCATGACTCAGGCGTTATTTTAAAATTTTAGTAGGGGATGTTTGAAAAACCTATTCTGGCATCAGGGCCAGCTGATCGAGTAAATGTAAGTTTCTCATTCTAAGGCCAATTTCTGTGTACCTTGTAAGGTTCCTTGACCTAAATCTAGTTTAGGACACCAGTAGGAATTAGGAGGGCTTTGGTCTGGTCCTGGGCAGCGGAATCACACAGTGTCGGGTGTATGCCCATGTTAAGTGTGTCGACTTTGGTGTGGGCATACCGTGTATAACCAGAAGATGGCAGTAAAGGGCTAATAAAATTAACCTGTCAACAACTTGAAGGCCTGGCCCCTGAGGAATGGCTCCTCCGCTTTTAAATCTCCATTGGTCTATTTCCTTGTAGAGTTCACAATTGGAGAAGATCATTTTGGCCGTTAGTGTGTCAATGGGAGGCCGTTGTTTTGCTCCTATTGCTATTCCTTGCTCCCTGTCCACCTGAGCTGGCCAGCCTCCAGCCTCATCTCACCATTCTCCTCCTGTCCCTATTTCTTAGTCCAAGGAGCCCTCTTTACTCTGCCGAACCAGCTCCTTTCCTGCTCAGCCTTTGCAGTGGCTGGTCCCCTGCTCTGAAGACTGTTCTCCAGGTCTTCGTGCAGCCGAGTCACCATGCCCTCTTAGTGCAAGTTTCCTTTCTCAGGGAGGTCTTGCTTGACCATTTCTTAAAAATAGATTTTTATTGATTTCAGAGAGGAAGGGAGAAGGAGAGAGAGAAAAACATCAATGATGAGAGGGAATCATTGATGCCGTGGTCGGCAAACTGCGGCTCGCGAGCCACATGTGGCTCTTTGGCCCCTTTAGTGTGGCTCTTCCTAAGCCTTAGGAGTACCCTAATTAAGTTAATAACAATGTACCTACCTATATAGTTTAAGTTTAAAAAATTTGGCTCTCAAAAGAAATTTCAATCGTACTGTTGATATTTGGCTCTGTTGACTAATGAGTTTGCCGACCACTGTCTTAGTCCAAGGAGCCCTCCTTACTCTGCCGAACCAGTTCCTTTCCTGCTCAGCCTTTGCAGTGGCTGGTCCCCTGCTCTGAAGACTGTTCTCCAGGTCTTCGTGCAGCCGAGTCACCATGCCCTCTTAGGGCAAGTTTCCTTTCTCAGGTAGGTCTTGCTTGACCATTTCTTAATAATAGATTTTTATTGATTTCAGAGAGGAAGGGAGAAGGAGAGAGAGAAAAACATCAGTGATGAGAGGGAATCATTGATTGGCTGCCTCCTGCATGTCCTCTACTGGGGACTGAACCCCAACCTGGGCATATGCCCTGACTGGGAACCTCCTGGTTCATAGGTCAACGCTCAGCCACAGCTGGCTGGGCTGTCTTTTCATTTTGTTGATGGTTTCTTTTGCTGTGCAAAAACCTTTTAGTTTGATGTAGTCCCATTTGTTTATTTTTTCGTTTGATTCCCTTGCCTGAGGAGGTATATCAGAAAAAATATTGCGCCCTCACCAGTTTGGCTTAGTGGAGAGAGCATCAGCCTGTGGACTGAAAGGCCCTGGGTTCAATTCCGGTCAAGGGCACATACCTTGGTTGCAGGCTTCTCCCCGGCCCGGGTTCTGGTCAGGGTTCTGTGTAGGAGGCAACCAATCGATGTGTTTCTCTCACATCGATATTTCTCACTGTGTTTCCCTCTCTCTTCCACTCTCTCTGAAAAATCAATGGAAAAATATCCTCACATGAGGATTAAAAAGAAAAAAGAAAAAAAGAAAAAAAATATTGCTATGGGAAATGTCTGAATGTCTGAGATTTTACTGCCTGTGTTTTATTCTAGGAGTTTTATGGTTTCGAGTCTTACATTTAATAATGTAATTCATTTTGAGTTTATTCTTGTATATGGTGGAAGAGTGTGGTCTCGTTTTATTTTTTTCACATATGTTTCCAGTTTCCCCAACCATTTATTGAATAGAGCCTCTTCACAGAGGTGTGTCCCCTGTTACCCATCACATCATTTTGTGCAGCTTTTTTCCTGGTTGGATTGAACCTGCAAAGTGTCTCCTGAGAAGACAGCAGCAGCTCGTGTCCCATCTCCTTCCCCTTCCTGCTCCCCACCCCCCACCTGAGCAGGTTCAGTTACTTCCATTTCCTGTGAAAGTTCATCATTGTTATTAGCTATGAGTTGACCCTAATACCCATGAAATTTAAGCAAAGTTCCTACCTTAGGCAAGTGAAAATTTGCATAGGGGAGATAAACAAGGAGGGATAATGCAAGAAGGTCAAAAGATACAAGCTCTCACCTTCAGACGGTGGCTTGGTTATTAGGTGACACCTTGGGACTGGGGTGAATTTTTGTTAGTATAGGCATATTCAATTACAAGTTAAAATGTTTAGGTAACTATATTAAACTTACGCAGATTTGTGTAGTTATGGGCAGAGTCATTTTGAACAAGCCAATGAGAACACTGCTATGACAGTGACTAAACATTTTTTTCTTTTAAAATGGTTACTGTAAAAGTAATTCTAAATTAAAAACAAATCTGAGCACATGGTGCTCATGGTCCTGAGTCATTCCTGAGAGCGGAGGGTGTACTCCATCGCGGTGCATCAGTGCGACTCTAGACTCATTCTCTAAGGCTGGCTCTCAGCTTTGTTTTTTAAAAATATCTTTTTATTGATTTCACAGAGAGGAAGGGAGAGGGAGAGAGAGATAGAAACATCAATGATGAAAATCATTGATTGGCTGCCTCCTGCTCGCCCCCTACTGGGGATTGAGCCCGCAACCTGGGCATGTGCCCTTGACTGGAATTGAACCTGGGACCCTTCAGTCAGCAGGCCGACGCTCTATCCACTGAGCTAAACCAGCTAGGGCTAGACAATTTTTTTTTTTTTTTTACAAATGGTCCAAGTGAGCCAGTCACTCAAGGGCATGTGCCCTTGACAACCTGGGAACCTGGGACCCTTCAGTCAGCAGGCCGACGCTCTATCCACTGAGCTAAACCAGCTAGGGCTAGACAATTTTTTTTTTTTTTTTACAAATGGTCCAAGTGAGCCAGTCACTCAAGAAAAATAACTGATAGTATTTTTGGCAACGATAAAATAAAATTCAAAGTGTATCCATCACTGAGTTTGAAGCTTCTCAGGTTTTAAAGACTTTTCTGATAAATGGTGATATTAATGAACATGGTATTTTGATATTGTATAATGAAACGTCAAATTCTGGAAGATCTGTATAACTCTGAATCAATACTTCTTAAGGAATCAGTGCAGGAAGTGACTAAGTCATGGATGGGTAATAGATTTATTTAAAGAACAATATATGCCAATGCATTTTAATGTAACAGAGTACAAGACAGTCCTTTGACATGGTTTCAAATTCCTTGTTACAATTAACCTTTAAGGAACTACCACATGTTTGAGTTTTGGTGTAATATCAAAGAAGACTATCTACAAATATCTGAAAAGGCTATTAAAATACTCCTCCCTCTACACACATTTCAACCATAACAACATATGGCAGCAAGATGAATACAGAAACAAATAGGAGAACACTGATGTCTTCCATTAAATCTATGAGATTTGCAGAAATTAAAATAGCCACTTTTCTTATTCAGTTTTTTCAAAATATACTTATTTTTCATAATATATTTATGTTTGCATGTAATGAGTTTATTACTGCTATTTGAAAATCAATTAATAGCCCTGGCTGCTGTGGCTCAGTTGGTTGAGCATTGTCCAGTGCACCGAAAGGTCACTGGTTTGTCTCAGTCAGGGCACATACCCAGATTGCAGGTTTGGTCCCTGTTTGGGGCGTGTACAGAAGGCACCTATCAATGTTTCCTTCTCTCCCTTTCTTTCTCAAATCAATAAAAAACATTTAAAATCAAATAAATATTTACAATTTCTTAGTTTTAATTTCAAATGTAGTAATTATTGATAGGTATAACCTACATAAACAAGCTCTCTAAGGTCCCCAATAATTTTTAAGAGGATAAAAGGGTCCAGAGACCAAAAATATTTGAGACCAGCTGTCCTAGCTTATTCTAACTGTAAGTTTTAGCTACATTGTTTAAGCATTCTTTTATTTGATCATTTATGTATTAATTCAACAAATATTCATGGAGCACCGCTATATGCCAGTTATTCCAGGCCCTGGGATTTCAGCAGTGAATTAAAGACACAAGACCATTCACAAAGGAAGTTACATTCTAGTGCAGCCGTGGGCAAACTACGGCCCGCGGGGCTGGATCCGGCCCGTTTGAAATGAATAAAACTAAAAAAAAAAAAAAAGACCGTACCCTTTTATGTAATGATGTTTACTTTGAATTTATATTAGTTCACACAAACACTCCATCCATGCTTTTGTTCCGGCCCTCCAGTCCAGTTTAAGAACCCATTGTGGCCCTCAAGTCAAAAAGTTTGCCCACCCCTGTTCTAGTGTGTCGGGGGGGACAAAAAAACCCCAAATAGACATGTAACATTTGTAACATGTTAGATAGCATTGAACCTGTGGAAAAGAGAATAGGGAATTCCTGGGATGAGGGTATTCGATTTTAAATATAAGCAGTCAGGGAAGGCCTCACCTAGTGACATTTGATGGAAGACCCGAACAAAGCGAGGAAGGGAACCATGTGGATGTGCAAGAAAAGGTCACTTTAGTAACAAGGAAGTGTTACTGTGCAAAGGCCCTGAGCAGGAGTGTATGCGGGGTATATTCAAGGAACATCCAGGGACACAGTGCGGCTGTTTTGGTGTATTGCAATCAGCACTATAGGGTAGACGTGGATCCTAACTTTTTATCTGGCATAATCCAGTGGATATAGGCTATTTTGCTGGATAATTTTGGTTGGTATCATCTTCAGAATGTGACCTATAATGTTTGTTTATTGCTCATATTTTAAGTTATTACTCATATCTCAGACAGCAGGTATGTCCTAGTGAGCATTTATCTCTAACTATTTGCAAGGCCCTGTTCTAGGCTCTTGAGGTATGTCTGTGAACAAAACAAAGATTCCTGTCCTGGGGAAGTTGGATTATTAAGTAAGGGGAGGTAGAGGATAAGCAGTAAATGTCACAAGTAAGTGAGCTATATTAGAAGGTAATATGTTGGAGAAACTTTTTGTTGTTGTTGTTAATCCTCACCTGAGGATATTTTTCCATGGATTTTTAGGAAGAGTGGAAGAGAGAGGGAAAGATAGAAACATTGATGTGAGAGAAACACATTGATTGGTTGCCTCCTGCACTAGCTCCCACCAGGGCCCAGGTCAGGGAGGAGCCTGCAACCAAGGTACGTGCCCTTGACCAGAGTCGAACCTGGGACCCTTTAGTCCGCAGGCTGATGCTCTCTCCATTGAGCCAAACCGGCTAGGGCTATGTTGGAGAAAATTATGGCTTTGATTGTGGTGATGGTTTCACGGGTGGTACTTATCGCCAAACCCATCAAGTTGTATATATTAAATACCTACAGCTTTTAAAAAATATATATTTTATTGATTTTTTACAGAGAGGAAGGGAGAGAGATAGAGAGTTAGAAACATCGATGAGAGAGAAACATCGATCAGCTGCCTCCTGCACATCTCCCATTGGGAATGTGCCCGCAACCCAGGTACATGCCCTTGACCGGAATCGAACCTGGGACCTTTCAGTCCGCAGGCCGACGCTCTATCCACTGAGCCAAACCGGTTTCAGCACCTGCAGCTTTTTGTATGTCAATTATACCTCAATACAGTGATTTTAAGAAAAGGGGACTGATACATGCTATGGGAAAAAAGCAGAGTAGGGGTCCTGACTTAAGTCTTTGTAATTTTTACACATAAGTTCATAATGAATCAATTTTAAAAAATTTTGTGGCAAATGCTCTTTTACTTTTAAATTTAGACTCACATAATCTACCTAGGTAGTAACCTATGAGGGTGGATGTGGCCACTGATGGTTATTAGGCTAATTTTTTTTCTCTGTGTCTAGAAAATTTTAGTGCCTGTTATTTAACTCTCTTCTTCGATGAAGGAGAGGTTAGGATTGTAAATAATTGTCTCTATTTCTTGTCTATTTATTGGTAGTAGGTCATATAACAAACAGACGTTCCAACTCAGCTGTTCAACCTAATAGTTTACTTCTCACATACATTCCAGTCCATAGTGTGAGGTGTGGTTCGCTCCTCCGTGAATTAGTCAGAGACCCTTGCTGATGGAGGCCCTGGCATCTTCTACATGTGACTTCCAAGATCACACTGGGTCTTACTGACCCCCTGAAGGATGTTCAGCGAAGGAGAACGGGATATCCTGCAGGAGGATTTTCTAGGTCACCAAGAAAAGGCACAATCATTTCCACCTCCATTCTGTTGGCCAGAAAGAACTCAGTCACATGACCCCCTTAACTGCAAGTAAGTCCGTGAGATGTAGGGTAGCAGTGTATTCAGGAGGGAAAGAAATTAGTTTTGGGGACCAGCTACCCTGGTTCTATTACTTGCCCTATGGAGAAAGGTCATTGTCGTATCTTTAGTAGGGAAAAAGGGCAGTGTGTTTTTTCTGCCCTAGAAGCTGTAGTCTCACATTCAGCTGCCCGGTGGCCAAGACCATGCTAATAACTGGAGAAACAGATATGGAGATGACGACATTTCATATGGTCAGAAGCTGCAGGTGGCTCTAGTCCCATGTAAAAAGGTTTGCCATTTTTACCTTGGAAAAAAAGAGTACCCAAACTATTGGTTACAGTTTTAAAAATTATCCAAATATTAAAGCTTATCAATTATTTTTTCCCTTTTCTGATTTTTCTCAGTCTTCCTCTCACTTATAACTGGTATGATGATCTTAAACCTTAGTTACTACACTACACATAATAATATTAAGATAATCTTAATATTACCTATATTGTCATATCAAAGTATGTTTAAATTGTAACATTATTTAAAACAAAGACAATCTTAATTAAAACACAATTAAATCTAACTTAAGTATATTATTAAGATCTTTAGGTATACATGGGAACTTACCATTATATTAAAGTCTCAAAAGGCATTTTTAAAATATCAGAAAATATAACATGCCAATGCAAAGAATATCAATGTTAAGAATTACTAGAGAAATATTATTCTGTTAAATCCACGCAGAAAATTTTAGTGGATTTTAGTTCACAAATTTTTCTAATATAATCTGGGTATAACCAGTTTGTAAGTCATTAATTCATAAAATCAAAACACATTTTAGTTGGAAATCTGTATTAGGTTCCCCGTGTTGCATAACAAATGCCCACAGAGCTAGCAACTTACACACCACATACAAAACACATTTTAGTTGGAAATCTGTATTAGGTTCCCAGTGTTGAATAACAAATGCCTACAGAGCTAGCAACTTAAACACCACATATATTTATTTATTAGCTCACAGCTCGTGGGTCAGAAGTCCTGGTGGGCTCGGCTGAGTTCTATGCTTAGGGTGTCACAAGTCTGAAATCAGAGTGTCAGCTGGGTTGGGCTCTGGGACAGTCAGCTTCCAAGCTCATTCAGGTTGTGGACAGAATTCAGTTCCTCGGGTAGGACTGAAGCCCCCGTTTCCTTGCTGCACTGCTTTCAGCTTCTAGAAGCCACCCACATTCTTGGTCCTGGGTCCCCTCCATCTTCAAGCCAGCAAGGGGGCATCAGGTCTTTGTCATGTTTCAAATCTCTCTGACTCCTTCTACCAACCAGAGAAAACCCTGCTTCTAACGAGCTCCCCTGATGGGGGCAGACCCATATGGATAATCCCTGTATATTAAGGCCAATTGACCTGAGACTTTAATGATATATCTGCATAATCCCTTCACAGCAGTATTTGGATTAGTGTTTGATTGACTAACCAGGGACAGGAATGGTGAGGATGGGGCAACGTTAGAACTATGCCTACCACAAAACCCATGTTTACATTACACTTCTATGTCCTCAAAGTAATGGAAGATTAATGCTTTCTAGAAAGGCAAAGGAAGTTAAAATGTTTATAGACAGATTTGCTTTGGTTTAAAAAGCTCATTAAAAAAATAAAGTATGTCATGTCTGTATTTTCAAAATTTGCTACATTATGTAATCAATGCATTATTATAAAAGAATTGAAGCAGGTCTATATTCATTCTCTCAAAACAATTACATTTACAACTGTGTACCAATAGATATTCTTATTTCTGCTAATGGGTAATTTCAAGTATTGAATTCCCAAACTGAGTGTTAGGAACTGAATGTTTCTGTCTCCCCCAAACTGGCCTCCTGAACATGGAGGGCAAGGAGAGATGGAAGAAAGACGCAGACCACTTTAGGTTGGTGGGTGGCAGTTTATTTTGTTTTTAATATATTTTTATTGATTTCAGAGAGGAAGGGAGAGGGAGAGAGAAATAAAAACATCAATGATGAGAGAGAATCACGGACCGGCTGCCTCCTGCACGCCCCACACTGAGGATCCAGCCCACAGCCCGGGCATGTGCCCTGACCCAGAATTGAACGGCAACCTCCTGATTCATAGGTCGATGCTCAGCCACTGAGTCACACCGGCCAGGCCGTGGGTGCTAACGATGCTTGTCTTGCGGGGTGGGGTGGGGGGTGGGGCACAAGATGAGACCCCTTCACCCAGCCGCCAGGATCTTAACCGGTTAAGATTCTGTTTAATAAAATAAATAAATAAATAGACGTTTAATAAATAGGGACCTTGCCCAGCTGGTGTGGCTTGGGGGTTGAGCATCAACCTATGAACCAGGAGGTTGCAGTTCAATTCTTGCAGGGCATATGCCCGAGCTGGGGGCTTGGTCCCCAGTGTGGGGCGTGCAGGAGGCAGCCGATCAATGATTTTCTCTCATCATTGATGTTTCTCTCTCTCTCTCCCGCTCCCTTCCTCTCTGAAATCAATAAAATTTTTTTAAAAAAATAGGGTCCTTAACGGGTTCAGTCACTTATACAGTTCAGATGGTCTGCGCAACATATTACTCTTCCAAGGCTGTGTCCTTGAAAATGGTTCCTGCTATGGTACCGGTGGGCGGAACGTAAAGCCCAAGGAACATATATTCCGAGGACCGGCAGGGAGTGAGGAGCCTCTGATTGCGGGGGTCCAGCGTCCGGGTCAAGCTGGGGTCACGTCCTCGGGGCGAGGAGGCGCGCGCTCTCCACCATTTGAGGACCCACCAGCCAGGGAGCGAGCTCACCATAAACCCACCCTGCCGACTCCTTGACCCAGGACCTCCAGCCCCCAGGACTGTGAGCAAATATATTTCTGTTGTTTACGCCCCCAGTCCATGGCGTTTTGTTAGCTTGAGCAGACTGAGGCACCGAGAACTGTTAAAATTTACAGTATGATTATTTTATGCATTTTATCGTTCGCCTTTAAACTTGGAAATAAGATCACTGTTAAAATTTAAAAATCAATCCTCATATAAGTTATACTAGAAGAATGGTGGTTTTATTCGTTTTAGCTTAATAATTAGGGCCATCAGATTTATTTTCAAAAAAGGAAAAGAAACATTTTATTTTAAAAAGCCCCAGGGTTTCAGCCTTGGAAAAGAATGTCTTGACAGAAGCCACTGTGCCATTTTTCTGGGCATAATGCCATGGTACATACATTATTTTATCAATTTCATCACTGTCGGCCAGTGTGCAGTTTTGATAACTCACAAGTTCACTTTCCCCAGTGAATACGATTATACTTAAAGATAGAATATTAAGGACAATTTAATTTCATAATAGCATTTGGTTTTATTGGTTAAAATTCCTGTTGGAGTGGGCTGATAGTACAGCCTGTTAGCATATTTCTCCCCCTGTCTCCCCCTCCTCCCTCCTTTCCTTCTTGGCCAAGAATACAATCATCAGAAAATTAGCTTTGAAAGAACAAGATTCAGAATTGTTTTTCTTTTTCTTCTTTGTAAGAAAAACAACTAGTTAAGAAACAGGAGCAAGCTAAGCGCATACCTATTAAAATAGTAACTGAGACTGAGCGTGTTTACAGCAGTGCGTTCATCTTTTCCAGCTGTACCTGCTGCTCACGGTCACTGTTTCAGTTAAGCTTTAGGAAAAACGAGAATGGGAGAGGAAGAGAGAAGGAAAGAGTCGTTCTTCTCGTGGAGAGCTGTTTACTTAAGTTATATGATGGAGTTTGTCATAGTTCTTGAAAGTTTAGATTTTAATATTTTATATTAACATTTTATTTTATGAGAGCCAAGTTTGTATAAATTAAAAGTTCTCTATTATCTTGATATAGTGAAGAATTTTTTCCTGTGATAATGAGATTTTTGTGTTTGTATCTTACTTTTTAACTTCTAAAATACAGTAAAATGGACTATATTTTGGGTGGACAGTTGCATGAGTTTTTTTTTTGACTCTTGTCAAAAAGGTTTATTAACATGGAATTACTTCAAATACAGATAAATTCTGTTCAAGTTTGAATATTTTCAATATACAGGAATTTAAAAGAAAAAATTCTGAGTCTTCATGTTGCAGTTTTATTTCATTTTAATTTTTACCTTTTAAAAAGTATTGGCACTGCCCGGCCGGCATGGCTCAGTGGTTGAGCATTTATTTACCTTTGAACCAGGAGGTCACAGTTCGATTCCCGGTCAGGGCACATGCCCGGGGTTGGGGCTCAATCCCCAGTGGGGGGCATGCAGGAGGCAGCCGATCAATGATTCTCTCTCATCATTGATGTTTCTCCCTCTCCCTCTCTGAAATCAATAAAAACATATTTTAAAAAAAGTATTGGCACTACAAGGTTCTGTAAAGAATAGAAGTGACAAATTTAAAACACATGAAAATCTTTTTTTAGATGAGTTTTAACTACCACGGAAATCAGGATGCAGAAGAGTTCTATCACCTCCCCAAATTCCCTTGGCATCCCTGACTACCACAGAGAGGAATTCTTTCATCTCCTGCCCAGGAAATCTAAGCCTGGCTGGCAGCCTATTTAAAGCTGAGAAGGGGAAGGAACCAGCCATCTTATAGTTCAATAGATGTGTCCTTTTCTTCTTCTTTTTTTAAAAAATTGAATTGATTGGGGTGACATTGGTTCACAAACCCATACAGGTTTCAAGCGTACAACTCAACAAAACATCACCTTCACACTGCATCTTGTGCTCATCGCCCAAAGCGCAGTCTCTTTCCGGCCCCAATTGTCCCCCTTTGCCCACTCCTCTTACCCCACCCCCTTTCCCTCTGGCTATCACTACACTGTTGTCTGTGTCTGTTTGTGAGATATATAATTTTTTTGGCTTAATCCCTTCACCCCTCTTCTCTGACAGCTGTCAGTCTGTTTCATGCCTCTGTTTCTAGTTTTTGTTGGTTTATTTTGTTCATTCGATTCCATATACATGTGACAGCATATGGTATTTGTCTTTCTCTGACGGGCGTATTTCACTAAGCGTAGTAATCTCCAGGTTCACCCGTGCTGTCACAGAAGGTGTGTTTGTATGGCTCTCATTTGACCTGGTGTCCTTGAGTCCAGCAGCTCCTTTTCATACTTTCAACGGAGAAGACATTTGCTTTTCTTTTTATAATAATTTCTCTTATTTTTCTCTGAGTAAAGACTGTGTAGTATTGAATTTATGCTTTTAATTTTTAAAATTTAATTAATTAATTAATTAATTGTTAATCCTCACCTGCTTATTTTATTATTGATTTTTGGGAAGAGTGAAAGAGAAAGAGACAGAGAGAGAAACATCGATGTGAGAGAAACACATCGATTGTTGTCTCCTGCAGGCCCCCCCACCCCCACACACCAGGGCCTGGGCCAGGGAGGAGCCTGCAACCAAGGTACATGCCCTTGACCGAAATCGAACCTGTGACCCTTTGGTCTGCAAGCCAACGCTCTATCCACTGAACCAAACCGGTTAGGGCAGTGGT